GACCCCGCCGCCGCCACCGCCGCCGCCACCGCCAACGCCGCCGCCGCCGCCACCGCCAACGCTGCCACCACCCGTCGCAGAAGATAGAACGTTCGAAACGCCGAGCAGACCGCTGCTACTCGTCGCGGTAACTCCACCGGCAGCGACGGCGGAGCCGCCCGCGGTCGCGGCGGCAGCCGCAGCTGCCGCCGCCGCGGACGACGCGGCCGCGCCGCCCTGCACGTACGTCGCTCCCGTTCCTATCGTCCTCGGAGATACCGGGCTACTGCTCTTGATGTTGACATAGTTTTGCGTCGGTCTGCAATGACGAGAAAACTTTTGTTAGACCTTCCGCAGAGGGAGAAGAGAAATATTTTATCTTTCCGCCGCTAAATTTCTCGGGCGCAACCGAAAGCGACGACCTCGATTTTCATTAACGAGGCAATCGGTGTAAATTCGACCGTCAGTTGTTTACTTGTTACTGTTACGTCACTTGTTATTTCTATTATTTCATCTTGTCCTTGGCAACAATATGAAAATAAGTCTACGCTGCGATACCGAGCACCACTTGCAAACCCGAGCCTTCCACGAATAGATGAGCCGACGCGATACTCTGTGCCTGACAACCAAAAGATAGTTGCGCATTGATAATATCGCCACGTTTCAATGTCACGTCGCAGCTTCTTCTACGTTAAAGATCGCGATAACGATCGACGTCTGTAGAAAAATGCCCACAGCGAAAGAAAATCTATAGTCACGCGGCCGCCGGATTTCAATGCACGTTATTTTATATTATTTACTGCCAAGATAAATTCTGTGACGCTGGGCGAAAGCATTTCCCCGATAATCTCCCGTGTCAAAACTGTAACATTCGCAGAAATAGGAGTAATACATGTATGATATATATTGTATACTATATATCGATCGTGTATATTAGTCATTCGGCGAGCTTGTTACAGCAGAAGCGTCGTAGCGGTTTGTTTATCGGCTCGCGTGTCACTGGCACACGTCATACACACACACACACACACACACACACACACACACACACACACACACACACACACACGCACGCACGCACGCACGCACGCACGCACGCACACACACACGCGGTTGATCCAATTTGATCAGCTTAGAAGAAAAAGAAAACTGTCAAGCAGCGGCGATTGACAGTGGCCTAAACAACTTTACACGGCCGATCGATGCTCGTACGGACTTTTTTTCCTCTCTATCCAATCACGTTTCCATCAAAGTTTCTAATTCCTTTTCCGAAGGCCACCGTTCTGTAATCCGAAACGTCGAAACAAAGACTCTTTCTCGTATCCGACTCAACATTTCGCCGATTAATTTTTCCGCGCTGTTCTCTCTCTCTCTCTCTCTCTCTCTCTCTCTTCTGCTCGCTCCCTCCCTTCGGTCAATAAATTTAACGATATTGAATAACTCGTACACAGTACCTACCAAAGAGCGCCCCGTACAATTTTGCATAGATTCGATTGGCGTACCTTTGCCTCTGCACACCGAGGTAATTGACGTACAAGTAAAAACTACCCGAGCGAACAAAACCTGCTCGAGCCCGTTGGATTAATGAGTTGCTCCAAGGTAAAATGGGTAACTCGGCAGCGGTACTCCGAGCAATTTCGAGTCAACTGAACGTTTGTATCATCTCCGGCCTGAATTTTCGACACCGAAAAATCGGGAGAAATTTCCTAATGCATTTGATAACGATTTTCGCAAAAAAAAAAGAGGGAGAGAGAGAGTCCTGACAATAATTAAAATACGCGCTTTAGTTTAATTTAACTGGCAACGATTGTAACTCGATTCTCGTCGACTCATTAACTCGTCCGATGCTCACGCGAATAACGGTACTCTTCGACGGGATCTCCTCTCGGAAGTATCGCGTATCTCGTCGAACCAGTCAATAGCGACGTCGGGTCCGCGCGAGGACACGAAAATCGAGGATCGTCGACAGTCCAAAGCGCGCCGAGTTCTAAGAATATAAAATTACAATGTAACGAGGGTGTAGAAAAGGAACGGGAAACGATGGGAGAGCGTGCTCGGAAAAATACACGCACTTCCACGTGTCGCATTTGATATCTCGAGACGCCATCGCGCGACGCTTGTATTTCACGTTTAAATTCTATGCGGCGCCTCTCGGGAGCGCGACGCTGGAAAAACGCTCTGAAAAAAAGATGGGACTCAGTCGAGCCTTCGTTAAGGAAAAATCGACTGCAATTAACGAGCGAATCGACAGATCCAGTTAACTCGGAATAAAAAATGTGATTGCAAAAATTGCAATTTCTCCGCGTCGGTTCGCCTCGCCGCGCCAGTGGGTTATTAATTTAATTGAACTAATTAGCAATCCCGACAGAATCGAACGTCAGGTATTAAATGCGATCGATAACCGAACTCTCGAGTATTGACGTTAGAAAAGGAGCACTGCCAAGTGCGAGTTCCACAACAAACGGCGCGTTGTCGATCGACGCCGTAGTATCGACGAGAAATTAGCTTTAATAACGCTCGCGTCACTAAAATAACACAGGATTTAAAGGGACTAAGCAATCGGGCGGAGGGGGTGCGGGGTGAAAGAAAAGATCAACATTATTAAATCCAAACAGGTTATTCCGGCTAAGATTTATGGCGCAAATCGTGGAAAGTTTCACGGAAAATTTCTTGCTATCGCTCGCCTGAAATAACGCGGCGCTTTTGCCGTGTAATGGCGTTTTTATCGAGTTTCGCTAAGGAGAAAAAGATTACGAATCCGAATCCATCTCTGAGACGTCCCCCGAATTAAGTGCCCAGAGTACAGACATATTATATTACATATTATAATACATATTTCCCCACGAACGCGACTGGAGCGACTTATCGGTCTCGCGGGCGCGAATAAATGATATTCCCGTCCAGCAACGACCTCGCTCCTGACATCTCTCTTTCTCGTGCGTATCTCAATCCCGAAGGTTCCCATCGATCGCGTTTACCCGGCAAAAGCGAGTCGTCGCCCCCGACCGGCGACAATTACGCGAGAAATTATCGACATTCACGGCCGGTGCGGCAGAGTGGTTTCTGCGACCGAACGCCCGGTTTATTTCGATCCGCAGAGACATGGATTTCTCGTAATATTAGATTTGCCCAATTTGCTAATGCGCTTCGAAACTGATGCAACTTTGCTCCGAAGAGACGCGAAATTTTAATCAAGTACGGGTGTAATCGTCCCTTTTTCTTAGGGTCGGAGCCATAGACGTATAATACATAGACTGCGCGCTTGGCCGAAGCGGTGTACGAACTTTAGAAAGAGACAATATACTTCGAGCGGTCGCCCTCCCTCTGTCGCTCTCTATCGTTCCCCTTACTCTTCCGTTACCCCCCAACTGTTTATTAGAC